TTCATCACTGACAAACTGTAACTTTGAGAATTCAGTTTTCTTGAGTTAACTTCTTTTCTATGTGAAATGTCTATAAAGTTTAAATGAGAAAAGAAAAGTGATATACATAGCACAGAGCTTTTACATATTAGATGCTCAATAAGTATTTCTTCTCTTGTCTTCTCCTTTCCCCTCACTGATGTACCTTTTGAAAGTACTTATGGCCGAAACTAGTTTGGCTCAGTGGAGAGAGCGTCAGCCTGTGGACTGTAGGGTCCCAAGTTCGATTCCAGTTAGGGCCATGTACCTTGGTTGTGGGCACATCCCCAATAGGGCGTGTGCAAGAGACAGCTGTTCGATGATTCTCTCTCATGTTTCTAACTCTCTATCCCTCTCTCTTCCTCTCTGTAAAAAATCAATAAAATATATATATATTTTTAAAAAGTACTTAATGTACGCTGACCTCATCATGGTCCGAAAGAAAGCCTCCATGGCCAGCTGCAGTGAACACCTTTTTGGGCTTCATTTTAATGGGCCCACTGTGTCATAAGTTACCTATCTCTGTCCTTTAAATGTTCTCTTTTCTTGTCCTCCGTAGTATCTTTGTCTGTGGGGTCCCTTTAGATTTCTTGGACATCAGTCTCAGCCTTCTTTTTAAATTTTCTTTTTTTCATATATTTGTGTCACAAGGGTCTCCGTATGTAGCACTCTTCTCCTTCAACATGCCTTGCCTGTTATACACTAAAGCCACCTAGCACCTGTACATTAGGAACTACCAGAGATGTTTCTTCTAGCCTCAAGCTCTCTTCTAGATGATGTACCTAATATTCACCACTTGGTGGAGAACTCCCCTGGGTTCTTCTTGAGTGTCTTAAATTTTATTTTCTCTTTCAACACTGTCCCTTCATGTTTAATATCATCAACATTTTTTCACAACTACCAAAATTAGAAACTGAAATTATTCGTCCTTCAACCAAGTCTAGTAAACAGATTACTTGATATTATCTCCTAAATCAGTTTGTCACAAATGAGATTTAAATTACGTCCTAGCTCTGTCTCTGATTAGTTCTGATCTACCTCTGAAAAATTGCTCCTTCTGGGCCTCAGTTTATCTTATCTCTGAAAATGTTTGGTGCCGGTCAGAGGTCGGCAACTAGGGCCTAGTGTTCAAATACAGTCTTCTGCCCATTTTTGTAATAAATTTATGTTGATGGCTGCTTTGTGCTACCGTGACAGAGTTGAGTAGTGACAGAAGCTATATGGCCCACAAAGCCTAAAGTAATATTTTAAAGCTCTTTATATTAAAAGTTTGCTGACCTCTAGAGACCAGAGGTTCTCCCCTGTAGTTTCCATTCCAGCCTGGCGAAAACCTGACTTTAAGATTATAAAAAATAAGAAGAAAAAGATTAGAAAAACTGATTACAGTAGTTTAATATTTGGCAAGAAAAATTAGAACAAATTATAACATTAGAATTTATATTTCCTGATCTTATAGCCTTAGTAATTCAAGAACAGAAATAAAAATCTCTGTTGCCACTTGATGGTGACAGGATAATTTATTTGGTTAAATTACTTTTAATTGATAGTGAATAAATCAGTTATTTCACTTATTAACTTGTAATTAGCATCTTAAGTCACAAAACCGATTTTGAAAGTGGAGAATACAGTTAGTTAAACTCTAATAATAAATTAGAAGTATAATTAAGAGTCTTTTTTTATATCATCACTATTCATCAAAGCAGATTATTTCCATTCTGATAAAAGATTTTCCATATGAATGCACTAGTGAATATTGAAGGGGCATTATAAGTATGTAAAAATGCTTAGATAAAAATATAAATCTAGCACCCATTTCAGTTTCTAATTTTGATAGTTATAAAAAAATGTTGATGATATTATGAAGGAATAGTGTTGGAAGAGAAAATGATATTTAAGACACTCAAGAAGAACCCAGGGGAGTTCTCCACCAAGTGGTAAATATTAGGTACATAATGAAGACCTTATATGTAGGGCCATCCAATAGCATACTCAAAAAACAAAAACTGCAAGTGTTTCCCTTAAGATTGGGAATAAGACAGGGATGTCCACTTTCACTACTCTTATTCAACATAATACTGGAAGTCCTAGCCACAGCAATTAGGCAAGAAGAAATAAAAGGCATCCAAATTAGAAAGGAAGAAGTAAAACTATCATTATTTGCAGGTGACATGTTATTAGAGAGAACCCTAAAGATTCCACCAAAGTACTACCTTAATTGACAAATTAACTCAGTAAAATAGCAGGATACAAAATAAATATCCAGAAATCAGTTGCATTTTTATACACCAATATTGAATGATCAGGGAAACTAAGAAAACACTCCCATTTCCAATTGTATCAAAAGTAAAATGAAATACCTAGGAATAAATTTAACCAAGGATGTAAAAGACCTGTACTCAGAAAGTTATAAAACACTAAAAAAAGAAAAGAAGATACAAATAAGTGGAAGCATGTACCATGTTCATAGATAGGAATTAACATCGTTAAAATGTCCATACTATCCAAAGCAATCTGTAGGTTCAGTGCAATTCCTATCAAGATACCAATGAACTAGAACAAATATTTTAGAACTGTATAGAACTACAAAAGCCCCAGAATAGCCCTAACTGGTTTGGCTCAGTGGATAGAGCGCCAGCCTGTGGACTGAAGGGTTCCAGGTTCAATTACGGTCAAGAACACATGCCCTAAAAAAAAAAAAAAAAAAAAAAAGAACACATGCCCTGGCTGTGGGCTTGATCCCCAGTAGGAGGTGTATTAGCAGCCAATCAATGATTCTCGTCATTGATGTTTTTATCTCTCTGAAATCAATATAAATATATTTAACAAATAATAAAATAAAAACAAAAAAGAGACCCAGAATAGCCACAGCAGTCTTGAGAAAGAACAACAAAATATCTGATGTCAAACTATACTACAAGGCCATAGTAATCAAAACAGTATGGTACTGGCATAAAAACAGACATATAGATTAATGGAACCAAATGGAGAGCCCAGAAATAAACCAGTGCCTTTATAGTCAATATTTGTCAAAGTAAACAAGAATATAATATTGAAGACTATCTTCAATAGTCTGGTCCAGTGGTTGGCAAATTCATTAATCAACAGAGCGGCAAACTTCACCTCACAAGCCGCAATTTGCCAACCACTGGTCTAATCAACAAATGGTGCTGGAAAAATTGGACAGATATGTGCAAAAAAAGTGAAACTAGACCACCTTACATCATACACAAGAATGAACTCAAAGTAAATACTTAAATGTTATGTTGGTGCCTCTTCCTGGCCCTGGTGCTTGGAGTTGGGGAGCCCAACTTTTTAACCTCACATTTATCGGGGGTTCCCCCATAGTTGAGATATCCCTCCAGAATCTCAGCTGCCACCGGAAGGCAGGGCCAACCCTTTTCTCATCTCCGCCCTTCTTGCCAGTCTCAGTGTAGCTTCTTCTATAAATCTTTGGTTATAAGACTTCTCTTCATCTAGTCTCCAGTTGTTTATTCAGATGATTGTTCCATAATTTGTGTGTGTGTGTGTGTGTGTGTGTGTGTTATAATTTAGTTGTAATTCCAGTTTGGTCCTACTCTACCACCATCTTGGATCATCATCTTGTTTTTTAATAATTCGAGTCTTCTAGATTTAAGTCCTTTGTGGAATATATGTTTTAGTCTGTAGCTTGGCTTTTGACTTCTTAAGAGTGTCTTTTGAAGAATAACACTTTTAAGATTTTGATTAAGGCCTGAAAGTTTTAAAGGAGTCTAGAGTATCGGAATAACAACAAAAAAACAAAACAAAACTTTATTTCTTACTTTGCTCTGATTATTCACTGCTTGGCACCAGAAATCAAGTATGTATTGTACATTCCACTTTTTTTTGTGCCATTGTCCTGTATTGTAAATGGCTTAATATTTCAACAAAATTGTTTTGTACTAGGCCATAAAGTTTATAAAGATGAATTATAGATGTCATTTTTTTTTTAAGTGCTCATTTTTAGTATTCAGTGTTTCTTCCCATCATCTGTTTGTGGAGCCAGGACAATATATTTTCCTTTGTTCAGTCCTGAATGCATCTTGTATTTACACTTTTTCCACGCAGAAATATGTAATTTCATCATGCAAGAAATTTATTGGCCTTTTTTTTTTATTATCTTCCATATATTATAGCATAGTTCCTTATACACAGGGGACAATCACTAAATATTCAGTGATTAAGTGGAATTATTGATGACCATGGTTAAGTATGGCTTTCCCAATTATCCTATAAAATAAAAGGCTAGTATGCAAATCGACCAAACATAACGATCGGTCGCTATGACACGCACTGACCACCAGGGAACAGACGCTCAACACAGGAGCTGCACCCTAATGGTCAGTGTGCTCCCACAGGGGGAGCACCACTCAACCAGAAGCCTTGAACCACGCTCCCGGCTATGATGGGAGCCTCTCTTGCCTCCGCTGCAGCATTAAGGATGTCGAACTGACAGCTTAGGCCCACTCCCCGCAGTCAGACACCACTGAGGGCTCCCGAGAGGATGTAGGCTGGGCTGAGGGGCACCCCCCACACACCCTGAGTGCACAGGCCTACTTGATAATAAAACTTTGGACTATACTTGACGAAATGAATAAGAGCTATTCTCATTTCAGATGCCATCTTTGCAATAGCTTGTTTTCTAGATAGAATAAAGATGCCTGGTTATTACTTAAGTATTTTTGAGTGATCATTTTTTACAACACTGATATAACATCATCGTCATCATTATTATTGTAAAAGCCTGTTGTTGTTGTTGTTATTATTATAATTAAAAGCCTGTATAGGGTAGAATAACATGAGTCAATAAATGAAACATTTTTTACAAAGTTTGCTCTATTTAATGAGTTTCGTATTTTATAATTTTGGAATTCCTTTTCCAATGAAACCAATACATTGAAACATAAATGTTATATTTGTAAGTATGTAGAAAGTTATGGTAATAACGTGCTTTCTCTGTCTAGGTTCTGGGGACACCAACAAGGGAGCAAATTAGAGAAATGAATCCAAACTATACAGAATTCAAATTTCCTCAAATTAAGGCACATCCTTGGACTAAGGTGAGTCAAGTAGAGTTTTTATAAAAGCACATTAGCAAGTTAACTAAAACTTGGGTTTTTTATTGTTCTTAAATTAAACTATTTTGAGACTAAATAGCTGCCTGAGTACAAAGTACACAGCAGTTCTGCCTGTAAAGATAGTTGGGTAGTTGTACTTCAGTATTTCATTGACTACATATAGTTTTGTCTCTATTGATTTCCAGTAAATTGTTTTCATCCAGGATTTTATTTGTAGGATGAGAACAGTGTAGTTATATCATTAAGATATATAATTTTATAGGAGCAAAATTCTTGTATAAATTTTGACTACTTAAAATTCAGAAGTTAATTTATTTACATAGAGTTGCTTATTAGTTTTGCATCATACACTATTGAAAACATTTCATATATTCCTTTTATAAACTATTAATATAGAGACCTTATTATAAATGATAATGGTATATTTTTCTTATTTACTTTTCTATTGGTATTTTGGGAGCGAGGATAAAAAGCAGGTTTGATCTTGCTAGGAGTATACATTGAAAGCAATAGATGTTAAACTGGATGTCACTAGCTAGCTATTGGAAAAATCCAATCTCAATATTAGATGGAATCATCTTAAGTTAGTAAGAGAAGTACTAACTTACTGGAAAATGTTATTTTTTGCTTTGACGCTTATTAGAAATTATTTTTAAGAGAGATTTTTTTTATTAACAGTGTGTTTTTTTTAACCTCACTTTAATTTTTGAGATTAAGTGTGCAAGAAAAAACATGTCTCCATAGGATGTATAGCTAGAGTGAATCTCTAGCTTCCTCATTTTACAGATTCAGAAACTCTGGCCAAACATACTAAATTACTTATCCAAGATTTAAATGGGTGGCTGTTGTAAAGCCAATAAACTTATTTATGTGTACACATGTGAGTTTAATGCCAGATCTTTTAAACTTCTAGTTATGTGCTATGCATTCCCCCTTCCCATTTACTTATATTTCATTATATATTTTTGTGGGTTAAAAATGTTCAACTTTTTAATCTGTATTTAAAGCAGAGATGTTCTGTACTTAAAACTGTATATATAAGAATTTGTTTTGAATGTTGATGAGTTCACTTACTTGGTTTTAGATCTTTTATAAATGAGATGAAGTAATTTAGGCCTGAAGTTGAAATAACTTACCTTCCCAGATTCAAACTATGTGTCTTTCTCTCACTAAACTGTATTATAATTCCAGTTGCTTTCCTTCAAGTTCTCATAATCACAATACCTCTCTTCACTTCAAAAAATCCTCTTGTTACTGATTATATGTTATTTAGACTCAAAGACCTCAGTAGTATTTTAGTGCCAAAATTATAGGCTATAGCTTTCACTGACCAAGATGTTGCCTTTCCCCCCCACACACACACACCCTTATTAATTTATAACAAACACTAAATATCCTGAGATAAAACATTCTTTTGTCTTTGTACTTAAAGTTTATTTTGAATCTGGGTCAGAAGATTATCTAGGGTCTCCCAGCTGACTCTAAATTCAGAGAGTCCCAGGTGGTCTCTGGGTTTAAAAGCTGAGTTGAATCCAGGAAAATTATTCCAAGTTAAAATGCTTATAAAGTAGTTTGTAGTGTACTCAGATTTCAGCCATGTTAAAGAAAAACAAACAAACAAACGAGAATTCTGTCTATTGAGTGCAGGTGCATATTCCAAAATGGTAATAGTAGTTTAGGTGAGAAGAGTATGGGTGATTTTTTTTCTTTTTCTGCATTTCCATATTTTCTTTTTCTTTTTCTTTTTTTTTAAATATATTTTATTGATTTTGTACAGAGAAGAAGGGAGAAAGATAGAGAGCTAGAAACATCGATGAGAGAGAGTCATCGATCAGCTGCCTCTTGCACACCCCTCACTGGGGATATGCCCGCAACCAAGGTACATGCCCTTGACCAGAATCGAACCCGGGTCCCTTGGGTCCCCAAGCCGACGCTCTATCCATTGAGCCAAACCAGTCTCGGCTCCATATTTTCTTTAATCAAGATTTTTTATGAAGAAAATTAACCTTAATATAAGGTTTCTAAGCAATATAATGCTGAAGTTGAGGTTATGAAATCTTATCAATCCTGTCCTCATTTTTTTTTAAATCAAGACTGCCACACGAATGTTAGTATGTGTCACATTCTGCACTTTTCCCCTATATTATAGCTTCTCAATTCAAATATTAGCCAGGATGGAATGTGAGGAATGATTGATTATAATTAAAATGCAGCCAACAGAAGATTTGTCATGACTTTATTTGCTTTATCCCTTCCTTTGCCCTTGTGGGTTCCAAATGTTTCTATATCTTACATTAATGTTTTTCAAACTTTAATAATCTATATAAAGCCCACCCTTTTATTTGTTTTATTTAGCTTTCCATTCTATACTGTGTGTAGAATAATGACTCAATTTCCCCCATTTTGTCTGTTCAAACTACTGTGAATTCTTCATATAGTGTGCCTTGACATAATTTGATTTCATTTGATACAAATGCATTTATTATCTAATAGGATACTTAGATTAATTTCTCTTTAGTGCACATAACTAGGTTGGTATTACCTTAGTAACAAATTCAGATACAGAAATTTTATGACACTGCTCTATCATCTAGAATCTAGATGAATCTAGATAATCCAGGATATTCTTATATTGATTTTCAAAAGTAGATTATTATCGATATTAAAACACAAAATTTGCCGTAACCGGTTTGGCTCAGTGGTAGAGCTTCGGTCTGCAGACTGAAAGGTCCCAGGTTCGATTCCGGTCAGGGGCATGTACATTGGTTGCGGGCACATGCCCAGTAGGGGGTGTGCAAGAGGCAGTTGGTCGACGTTTCTCTCTCATCGACATTTCTAGCTCTCTATCTCTCTCCCTTCCTCTCTGTAAAGAAATCAATAAAATATATTAAAAATAAGTAAATAAATAAATAAAAACAATAAAACACAAAATTTTAAGTTTTTAGAGGAAGTCTGTCCCTTCTATTCTCCATTTTGATAGTAGACACCAACTTGATAAGTGCTCTCCCACTATGCAGCCTATGTAGTTAATAGTATTTTTTAATACATTAATACACATTAATGTATTAAAAAATACAGTTTTCTAAAGAGAAGAGTTTCTTGTCCTTAGAGGTCAGGTAAATACAGTCTGGAAACAAAAGCTGCTTTGTTAGAATGCATTTTAGCCCCATTTCCTGAAGCTTGTGGATATTTTGGTTCCTTGTGCTGCAGTATAGTACAGCTATCTCACCAGGATTCGGAGCCAGTATTCTAAAAAAGAAAGTAGGTAGATATAAAAATCAAGAGAGAAAATATCTTCCATGGGAACCCTGAGGTGAGAGGTTCGGATCTGTAGGAAAGATAAACAAAAGAACAAGACCACGAGATGATCACGGTGTGTTATATGGCAGGAATCTTGAGAATTTAGAAATCCAGTAAATTGCCCTTGCCTATTACTTTATAGCCAGAACAACCTAATTCATTGAGAAAGCATTTGTGGTTTAAGTAGTAAATGGGGGGAGGAGAGGGGGAAATAGGTGCTAATGTTTTTAAATAGGGATATTCTTGGCAGTGGGAGTGAGAAAGATAAAGACCTCTGCAGTGGTGTTTGCTGTACACATCAAACAGTAAAAGCCAGATGGGAAGCCAAAAGAAATGATGCAAAAGTAGACTGAGAATTAAGTAGAAATGGAAATTGGTTGGAAGAAAAGAGTAAGCTTAAATTCTGCATTTAGAAAATGGAGATCTGGTTGAATTGTATTCTTTTTTCTTTTAAAAAATATATTTATTTTTATAAGGAGAGAGAGAAAGAGAGAGAGAAAGAGGGGGGGTGGGTAGAAGAGCAGCACATCGATCTGCTGCCTCCTGCAATCCTCCTACCAAGGATGGAGCCCCAAACCCAGGTACATGCCCTGACTGAGAATCAAACTGGCAATCTTTTGGTGCACGACACTATGCCCAACCAATGGAGCAATACCAGCCAGGGCAAATATAATAATCTTTTAGGTATGAAGTGGGGATCTAGTTTTAAGCACTGCTTCTTTGTTCCTCAAGTTTTTTCTTTTGTTAAGATACCAGTTAGCTCTTGTATTTTTTTCTCTGGATTCTTTTGAAAATGTTGTGAAAGTATGCACATAAAGGATTATTTCATTTTAGTTCTGAATAAATGTAAAGATTCTACCTTCATTATAGTTCTGTGATTTGTCTTATCTATCTCCACTGCCCTGACTTTAACTTAGGCCTTCATAGCATTGATAAAACAACCTCCTACCTCCTAACCAATTTCCCTCCTTCAGTTTCTCATATGTCACATATACTCTGCTCTTAATCATTTCTACCTTTCCTGTCTAAAATAAGAAATTTAATTCTTGTCCTGCTCTTAACCTTCCCTGAAGCATCAACTTGATAGAACCCAGGCTTTTTCTCAAGCTTTCTAGCTCCTTCACCCTTAAATACATATAGTTAAGCAATAAATTTAGAAGTTAATATTTAGTTAGGGTAGGTTAGGGATTTCTAATAAGGTTATAGTATAACTAGAAGCCTGGGGTGGTCCTTCAGCCTGGTCTGCGCCCTCTCGCAGTCCAGGACCCCTCAGGGGATGTCCACCTGCTGGCCTAGGCCCGCTCCCCGGGGGATCGGACCTAAGCTGGCAGTCAGACATCACTCTGGCAGCCCCGGATCCCTCAGGGGATGTCTGACTGTGGCTTAGGAGTGGGCCTAAGCCACAGTCAGACATCCTTAGTGCTGCAGAGGTGGCGGGAGAGGCTCCCACTACCACCGCTGCGCGCACAGCCATCAGCCTGGCTTGTGACTGAGCAGAGCACCCCTGTGGGAGCTCCTGCATTGGGCATCTGCCTCCTGGTGGTCAGTGTGCATTATAGTGACCGAACGTTCTGCCTTTAGTGTCAATTTGTATATTACCCTTCTATCATATAGGATTGATATGAGTCTCTCCCCCTTCACCACCACCATTTTGAATGCCCAATTCACTTAACTTTTGTCTATGTTATTTAAGAAAAGTATTCCCTCTTTATCCCAGAGTAAATAAACCTATGAAATCAGTTAGGTAACACAGATATCTGTATATTCTTTCAGATTAATGAAATTCATAAGTGATATAACTGTTTAGTTAAAGGAAGTAAATTAGAATCCCAAGGGCCTGATCTCTTTCAATTGGATTAGGACTGTTTAATATGTTAGCTTATAGCTCATTTTGAAGGGAGCATGTAGTCATGCTGAATTTTTGGGTCTAATCAAACTGGTCCCCTAATTGGATCCCGGAGAAACCAGTCATTTCTGCCTCCTGCTATTGTCTCTCCGCCCCTGCCCACCCCCCCCCCCTCCACATTTAGAATGTTTTTCTCTGCTTATAAGTTTTAATCTTTTCTCAAGACCTGAAATTTCACTTCTGTGAAATATTTTCTGATTATTCAAGCTCTCCATGATTATAAGTACCAAGTCATACGATATGTATTATAGCATTTACAAATTTTCAAAATGGTAGTAATAAAATGGGTCCAGTTACCTAAAAATGTTTGTTGCTGTTTTTGGCATACATGGTAGCTTACTTAATAGTTAAGTATCTGTAGGATATGTGGAACCATAGATCATTTTTATTAAGTATCCCAGAATGCATTATCCACCAAAATTAATCCTTGCGTACTTGATTTCTTAGAACATTGTTCATATGTTTTAAAATGAATGAATATTGGCACTTACAACTAGCTAACAGAGTAAGCAGGAAATTGGGTTCTGAGGTCATTTCAGCTATCAAGGAATCACACTATAATAAACAATTATATTTAATTACTCTTTATACTTAAAGCTATACTTATTTTTTAAAGACTTCATAATCTTACAATTTTTTTTTGAGCTTTTCAGTGCAGTATTTTTCACTTAGTAAGCTTACCTGTTCCAACTATAGTTTAACATGTTACTAAAAATACTTCCAGGCAGGACATAGAGAGCACAAAACAAAAATTGCCTTCACAAACTTTTTTGCAGATCCATTTCATCTTTCTCTTCTAGTCTCTTTACCCTAATCATTTTGCTCACGTGTATTCCAGAAAGCATAAAACTATGTTGGGGATTTCTAGGATTGCTACGTCTGTTTTATTCTATATTATTACTTAACCCCCTCTGCCCTGAACATTCTTCTATCCATTCTCACTTTTCTCATAAATACACTATATTTTCTATTACATTTGCTAACGTATATCTTTACTAGTGCTAGAATAATCACTTTTCTTTTTTAATATTGTTTCCTATGTAAGTAGGAGTCTTCATTTTTCCATCTACACTGGCTATGCTCCCATTTCTTTGCTGGTAACTAGAAGGCTTCCTAGGGTAGTCAATCAACATGGAAGAGGAATAATATAAAAAAGAAGAATATTTTTTAATTTATCATTTGTTTTTTAAAACCCATATATCCTGTGTAACCCAGTGCTGTGCTGGATGCCATAAAGAATGCAGAAGATGTAAAATATATATTCCTTGCCCTTGAAAAGGTTACAGGTAACCCAACTGACTCAGTTGAAGCGAGTATCAAATAAATATACACTAATATATAACCATATACTTGATTGTATGTTCTAGATGTTCAGGTGTGTTTCACATGTTGCAGACTTTATAAGATAGATCTCCCATGAGGGTGGTGGAGGGAAAAAGGTGATGGAAGGACCCAGGAAAGGGGGTTTTTGAAGGGGGATCTGGATTTCCTTAGATGCACATCTGTTAGGATTGTTGTATTTTTTAAGATGAGTAAGTGTGAATGAAAAAGAAATAGTTCCCTATTCTTAGGAAGGTCAGCCTGACTACAATAATAATTTCATGAACAAAGAATGGTTAAATTGGATAACTGGACATTTTGGTAAATCATCTGTATAAGCCTATAGTACAGTAAATGATGTTGAGAGGGAGAAAATAGCATAGTTAAATGCTGATATCAAAACATATATAGAATGCAAGAAGCTCAATACACCTTTTAATTAGCACAGATTAAATTTATTAATGCTAGCTCTGTCATGGCTAAGGAAAGACGTTTGTGTTTCTTATGAATTATGTACTATATGTGAGCACTTAAGTAGATTTAAGTTTTTGTCTTAGTTAATTAGCTTGGTTAATCATCATAATTAACTGTTCAAAAAAATCCATGGCATTCTCTCACTTTTAATCCTATATTTACATTTATAAATTGCAAATAATTTTAACAGATTAATAAATTACTTGAGAGCCAATACTTGGGTTGCCCTTTAGGAATGTTCAGAGTTTATCCATTTTTAACATTAGGTTCTTGTGTATTTTGTGTATAATCAGAGAACAATGTCTGTGTTTTGCATTTATCACTATCAAAGCTAGGGAGTAGTAGTTGTTCAGAATAGGCATGGCACTAGTCCTATGTTCTACTCAGATTATCACTGCCCATAGGCATTTTTACATTGCTCTGGTTGGCTGTTTAATGCAGTAGAATTACTGAGAGTTAATGCTCTGAGAATCAACAGTAGGCTTTGGTGTTGTACCTATATGACTGTTTATAAATGGTAATCTTAAAGTGCTCAAGGTTCAATCATAACCGTTAGCTCCAGGTTGAAATTTGATATTTAATGACAAAAACCTGTTCTAGGACATATAAAGGAAAATTGCCTCTATCATTTTTGAGTTATCCAAATGCAAATTTATTTTGAATAATTCTTTATTTAAGAATTTATTTGCATTTGTTCAATATCACTGAGACTTCCTTTTTGAAAAACTTAATTTTTCTGTTAATTTCTTCTATGGATTAGTATTTGTGATGAGAGTTTGTTTCAATTTAAGAAAATGCGTTGCTGCACAGGTGAGGTAGTATTTGAATCACTTGAAAGTTCATGTCAGTGTTTTGATTCCTTTCAATTTTTTCTTTTTCTTTTCTTTATTTCAATTATTTATTTATTTGCTTTGTTCAGTTTTGTTTTATTTATTTAATTCTGTTTTTAGTTACTACAGGGTGTTTTGGGCTCTTCATGGCCTTGCTAACATACTTGGCTGGCCATATTTAGTCTGCGTACTAATTGTTAGTTGGCCCAGTTGAGTCTTACTTTGTGCTCTCAGTTTTTTTAGTCTGGTTTTCTACTTTTGTCCACCTGGTTGTGTTTTTTAGTTCATGAGAGATTTCTATTCTGATGGGCCGGATTTTAATCCGTGTACTAAATTTTAGTCTGCAGACTAAAAGTAATCCGCGGATTATTTATTTTTGCAAAATATTTAATTCGCCCACTGGAAACTATCCTAAAAGAATGTTAAATTCTCTTAGAATAGCCAAGGGAATTCACAGCTACTGGTGAGTTCTGCCATTGTTTATTCTCAATACCTAGACATAATAGACCCTACCACCTCCCTTGCATATTTGGCTCCTTTGTGCCTAGGTGTTGGTGTACATTATTATGCATGTCACCTATAACTGTGACTGTCCCTTAGTTGTATTGTTTATTGTATATATTTTTGTTTAGCTTTTGGTGGGTGAATTGGGCATATTTGCAGATAGAACTGTGTTGAATTTGTAGTGCTCAAAGACATAGGATTTTTTTTTTCCAGTGAGTTTTTCCAAAAAGGAAAGAATGTTATATATTTATTTTTCCTAAGTAATGGGTGCAAGGGTATGAGGGGGCAAAGCCCACAATAGAAAATGTAAGTTTATACCCGCACTCCTGAGGTGATAATGTCTATTCCTGAAGAGTCCTAAGATAATGAGAATGTCAGTAAATATCTTTTAGCAGGGAAGTCAATCCAAAATGGAGAATAATCCGCGGTGGCCTGATCCTTCTTAGCTCACACAAATTGGAAATATTTGGCTTGAAATCTATAATAATACAAATTAAATATATTTATTACTTTCTTCTCATCACTAATAATTTAGCAAGAAAAATGTTTATACTGTATAACTGGAATATGTTAATAGAAGAAAATTAGCATATTGGGAACATATCTTTAAAAGCAATCTTAAATGCCCCCTCCCAGCCATGTCAATGGATGATGAATCCAGGTCATAGAAGACCAAACACTTTACTTTGGGAACTTTACTTCTAGATTTCATTTTGATTTTAACTTTTTTTGGTTTTGTATTTTTTTAATAAATGCACTGGCATTGGAACATAATATAAATTTAAATTAAAATGTTTCTTTACTGTGCCTCACCATTGCGCAATCAAAAAAAAATTTTTGCATACACTGTGGTGAAATAATTTTTAAAACTTGGACTTGCTACTGTGGAGACTGATGTTTAAAGTTTATAACTGTATAAACATTTTCTATGTCCCCCCCACACCTTGGATTTCTTATAACATTGGATATATTTTTCCTTGCTGGACTATTCTCTTTTGGATTGACTTCCCCTGTTTGGATTATTTCACTGCATTATCATCTTTAGGATTCATCAGGAACAGGACATTTCAACTCAGGAGTGCGGGTATGTACTTAATTTTTTTTCCCAAAATTTCAGGGCAGGTTATGAAACTAAGGGGAAAACTTTTTGAAAGGCTAAACAATTATTTGTTCTTGGAATATAACAGTAAAAACAATGTAGGTAGCTCTGATTTCTCTTTTCATTTACTGTATGATACAGGTTTTGCTTATGGTATAGATTGTCAGTCTTCCTGAGTGACTTATTAACATCGAGATTGAAGTTTAGGAATTATGGGATTTGAAAATTGTTTATAAATAAATATTGACGAAGGTCCATGGAACCCAAGGTTCTGAATGTTAAGCAATTGCAGTAAGTGAAGAATAAAGCAGAAACTTCTTTCAAATTGACTTTTGATAAGACAAAAGACAAAGTAGTTATTTGTGTCCTTTCCTTTATTAGACACAAAGATAATTCAGAAGAGTTGTTTTCTAGTTTGGAATGCAATTTTTGGAAGTTGCTTGCTACCACACCCTATATTACGGTTAAAAATCTAAACTTGAGGAGACACTGGTTTTTGCCCTCATATAAATGTCCACTTAACCTTTATAAAGTATTGAACCAAAGGTTTTCTCATCAGGAATCTTTCAAAGGGCTTCAAGTAATAATGGGTAGATTTTTAAAAGGTAGGCTAAGTCTTGATTTTAATGTAGGTTCTTGGAATGAATGCCTTTATTTTTTTTTAAATCTGATTCCATAAGTTAGGATTCCCTGGCAAAATATGTTAATGTGCATCTTAGTGCTAACCTGATGATCCCGTATAGCCTGTAAGTTACCAGAAAGATGTGGGTGACTCTTTTTTAATAACCAGAGATAAGATTACAATAGTGATTTATTAATAGCTTTATAAAATCTTCATTAATATAACAGGAAATTTTTAAACTTAAATGGCCTCACTGTCCAGCTACCCGACATTTGAATGTTAGCAGGAGATACTTATTTCTACTTTTAATTCTACTTACGTGCCTTCCATATTGGTGCAAAAGTATTTTTTATTATACTAGCTAGCAAAATAAATCCATATGCTTTCAAATAAGTGTAAACTGTACTCAGGGATAAAATATATCAGTAGTGCTTAATATTTTTATTAATTTTCCTACTGACTACTTTCTTTTACATGTGAGTTGGATTGTGGTCCTGGCTGGGAGCACGTGAGGAAAAAATGACCAAGAACAGTAGAAAAATCTAAACGTTTCAAATAATACAGTAACGTTGGGTTTTCTTGATTGAGGCAAGTCAGGTCACTCAAAAGAATGAAAGATAGAGCAGGTTGTTGTTATTTACCTTACAGAGGTTTTTCTAACATAGCCAAATAAATTACCAAGGCCTTCATTATTCTAAAATGCATCCATGAGATCCTGCTTAAATCAGCTTCTCAGTTTCCATGGAAAATATATTTATTAATAAACTTTTTGTAAAAACAAGAGGGGAAAAAAAAGGTTTTCTTTGTACAAAGTGCTCCCCCCCCCCCCTCTTGAAATCTAATGAGCTCTGTTCTCCTACCTTTAGTCTAAGAGAATGCCCAGATTTACATGAACCATTCTCATTAGGAAACCTTAGCCTCCCAGGCTCCTCCATGCCATGTCACAATCTACATATCCTTTGCTCACTTGTGGGTCTGTTTCCCTTCATTTATACATTTCTGCATATTTTTTTTTTCAATCTTCAGCTAAGAATACACTTTTCCTTTGTTTTTTAGAGAGAGTGGAAGATAGAAAAGTAGGGGGAAGAGAGAGACACTGATATGACAGAAACACATCAATTGGTTGCCTCCTGCACATACCCCAACTGGGGCTAAGGATGGGGCCTGCAATCCAGATATGATGCCCTTGGCCAGGAATCAAACCCATGACCCACTGGTACAAGGACTGATGCTCCAACCACTGAGCAATATTGGCCAGGGCACTTCTTCTTTTTATGTCTGTTAATTCCACCACTGCTACTACCACACCTTCTGTTTGAGTCTATGTTCTTCCTATTAAGAGAAATAAGTTTCGTTTTTTAGCACACTTTTTAAAATTTATTGATTTAGAGAGAAACAATCTGTTCCACTTATTGATGCAATTCAATGGTTCTTTCTTGTATGTGCCCTGACTGGGGCTTGAACCTCCAACCTTGGTGCTCAGGACAAAGCTCTAACTACCAACTGAGCTACCCCAGACAGGGCCAGTATTTACTTTTTTTTTTTTAAAGTTTCATTTTTCCCTTCTGTTTGTATTCTCTAACTGTCCATAATTTAAGATGAAGTAATTTTCATAGTTTTATGTATTGATTAGGGATTTTAAGACATAGGTAAGTAGAAAGCTTTCTATTCCTTTAAGTAAATTTATTTGCATTTTGCTTCAATTGACTTTTTCTGTGAGTTTATGGTTCTTAATGAAAACTCCATTTCTCTCTTCATGATTAAAAAAACCCTAGAGTATTCATACAATTGAGGGTAATCTGGCCATGTTCATGAGTAACAGCTACTTGAGAAAACAATTTTTGGAAATTTTGTCAAATTCTAGATATTCAGGAATTTCTTCAAATAATGATAGGTTCCATTTATTAACAAGATAATATAAAATCATTAACATTTATAGACTTAGAGTAAATAGCTTTTCTTTTTTAAAAGATATTGATCGCCAGATTTAAAATGTGCTCTCTCCATTATCAATAGTTGTTCTACTACAAATCACACAAAAGAGGCAAACTTTTTATCTACTATCACTGCAGTCAAAAGTTTTTTTAAAAAAATTATATTCCTTTAAAGTTTTTTTATATTCTTCGTGTTTTTGCTTCCAGAATTTACCTTTCTCTTGTACCTGTCTTATTTTGTGTGCATGTTAGATTGTTTTGCTTTATGACTAGCATATATAGATTTTTTTTTTCCACTTCCAGTTTTTTCTCTGAGTTTTTCTCATATAGTCCTCAATTAGCAGTTCATCACAGTGTGGTAAATTATATGGAGTTAACTCTTTTCATTGTAGAAGGTTACTTTCACAAATGCAACCATGTTTTTGTATGTGGTGAGAATTCTCAGTAATCAGGATAAATTGCTAAGATTCTTAAACATTAATTGTTCTTTCCCTTTTTTGTACTGCAGGTTTTCCGACCCCGAACTCCACCAGAGGCAATTGCACTGTGTAGCCGTCTGTTGGAGTATACACCAACTGCCCGACTGACACCACTGGAAGCTTGTGCACATTCATTTTTTGATGAATTACGGGACCCAAATGTCAAACTACCAAATGGGCGAGACACCCCTGCACTCTTCAACTTCACCACTCAAGGTAATTTCAAACACTTAGCTCTTTCACCATTTCGGAGAAAGGGGTACATGGTTGTGAAGTGACACTCTTGATTAAAACCTGTAGGACAAAAGTGAACATTCTAAGTCTTATGCAGGTAGGAAAGAACCTTTTATTAGACCACTACTTGTACGTTAGATAAAATTTTTCAAATAGGCTTAACTTCTCTAATTTTTAGCCGATTATAATAAATCTTGGCATATGAGAAGTTATAGAGATTTCACTAATACGATCTTCAGATTTGTATCTGAAACTTAGAACATGTGGCATTTCTTGCTTCCCACAGGTTTATATCAAGTTTTATAAACCTAGGAACAAACTGGTGGCTATATTTTTTTAAAATTGAGATATCTTAAAAACAGGGGGAACTAGAGTGCTATAACTCTTTCTTAAAACTGATATAAGTGATATAGAGAAATTCCCATCCTCTCTGTAGCTTGGCACCACTGCTGCTGCTGAGAAAACAAATATTCAAAGGAATACTTGAGTATTAGCATCGCTGGTTTATAAAAGATTCAGGAATAAACACTTTCTTCACCACTTCTATGTTCTCTCTTTTCTCTTTAAGTCCTTAAATGATTCATTTAATTAACCACACTGCCTCTAATGATGTGATTTTCTTGAGAACTGAACATTAAGAGAGTACAATTTCCCATAGATAAAATAAGCAATAAATAAACCATTGATTAGTCTGTTGCTTAGTCAAGCTAAAAATAGAGACAGGGAGCTTTCGATGATGAGGAAATAGATATATCTTTTTTATTGTTGCTGGTAAATAGACTTGAATGATTCTGTTTTCTGTAATCTTAAGCTGTCAATATTACATAACTACTAACAATGCTGATGTAGTCTTAAACTACATTCATAAAAGAAAATTGTTCACATATCTTGGGACAGTTAATTTAGACTTTAGGTCTAATTAGAAATCATATGGAATGTTGTTTTTGGTTCTGGCTATGCAATTTTAAGAAGAATGTTAATGAGTGGCAGAATTGAATATAGAAACTGGAAAAATGAAGACTTAAGAGACTCCCAAAAGTTGCCTAAAAATACCTCAAAGATTGTTTTCTAAAGAATGCATAGACGTATTTTTTCTCCAGATTGCAAAATTGAAAATAGTTGCAGAAAATTAGAGCAGTACATATTTGGGCTTAGTATAAATATTTCAGCCCCTGGCACAAATAAAGATTGAATAAAGCTATTAAGATTCAATGAAGTATTCAGTTGTTTAGCAGTAGAATAAGTTATTTTCAAAACATTGATCTCTGTATCAGGAGGAAAAGCTGAATAATGTCAATAATGTAAATAAGATTACTTCGATTTGGCAGAAGGTTAGATTGGAACACTCTTCTTAACCTCTTATAGAGCAAAATCATTCACCTCACTTACTCTCATCACATTGTATCATCTTATATCATCACAAGAAGGATAAGTACAGTCCAATAAGCTATTTTGAGAGAGAGCTAGCACATGCACATTCACGTAACTTTTATTACTGTATGTTTTTTTATAATGGTTCTATTTTATTGTTAATCTCTTATTGTGTCTAATTTATAAAATAAATCTTATCATAGGTATGTATGTATGTATGTATGTATAGGGGGAAAAAACATAATATATGTAAGGTAGTATATATAAGGTTCAATACTATCTTTAATTTCAGGCATCCATTCTTTCTGAGTCTGGCTTCTTTTAGCAACATAAACCTTGCCATATGAACAGAACTGTGAAGAGTAAACACTTGAGCCCAAACCGGTTCGGCTCAGTAGATAAGAATGTTAGCCTATGGACTGAAGGGTCCTGGGTTCTATTCCAGTCACAGGCACCTGCCCAACCCAGGGGAGGGCGGCGTACAGAGGCAACCGATTAATGATTCTCTCTCATCTTTGATTTTCCTCTCTCCCTCTTCCTTCCTCTCTAAAATCAACAAAATATTTTTTTTAAAACGAGTAAAAACTTGAGAAAAATACAGTATTATATTAAACTAAAGTAAAGCTTTAGAACAGTGCTAACTGCAATTAGCTGTTTGTTACAGTGCCATGAGTATGAGTTATTAGCCATAAATAGTAATTGGTATTACTTTCATATAATCAAAGAAGTATTTCTGTGATCAGCTAGAGCAGTGGTCAGCAAACTGAGGCTTGCTGACTAATGAGTTTGCCGACCACTGCGTAAGGCATTACCCTTACCCAGAAGTTTTAACTTCAGGATAAAGACATTAGTACATTATAAAATCTTTTTTAAGTATTTTTCCCCAAGGCAGTGATCAGCAAACTCATTAGTCAACAGAGCGGCAAACCGTGGCTCAGGAGCGTCATGTGGCTCGCAAGTCGCAGTCTGCCGACCACTGAGCTAGAAGGAGAAGAAAGATGATAGATAAGAGACAGAAAACGTTGAGAACCTTCTGACATCCTGGATCCTCAACTCGGGATCCAGGCTCTGGGCTTCAGTGTTCTAGGATCCTGGATTGACAGTATTATCTGCATCCAGACATTGGAAACCAGATCATACCTTTGGCACAACCTCTTTCCTCCAGTCATTGGATTCCAAAGTGGATATAACTGAGTCAAGCCTTAGAAAGTAGGTGGAGTCAGGAAATCCCAGCAGGGATCAATATTTCTTTTTATTCACCAAAATATTTCTTTTTCCTCACCAATTCCTTGCCTGTTCCAAAGCTGGAATAAATTGGGAAATAGGTTGTTTTGTATGTTTAAAGGTGTGTCTCCAATTAACCTCGCCACAAACATCCCCCCACCCCAATTTTCTACCCAAATTGGTACGAAATTTTATCAACAAATTATTTTAACAACATGGTGGGTTTAGGACAGGACAGGGGTCGCCAGGGGTGGGTAAAATGATCAGTCATTAATATTAGTATGGTTTAATTTGAAGAGTTTACTAATCTACAACTTAGCTGGGTTACCTGAAAGAAAGGCAGCTTTATGGGGAGATAAGGAAGAAGAGTGGATTAGTGGCGAGGCAAGAAGAATGGAGAACTGCTTAAATGAGAGTAAAAATAGGAAATTTGGAGCAGACAGAGGGCAACAAACTCATTCAGATGTAGATAGATGTCTTGGAGTACAAGGGCAAGGGTATCTGGATGTGAGAAAAGCAGATGGTGAAATAGAAAGGGACATCCAGAAAGTAAGTAAAAAAAGGACACTAAAAGAGAGAAAGAACCATAAAAGGATCAGAGAATGATTTTTAAGCGTAGGAATGTGTCACAGAATAGAAAGTGATGCAAACACCATTAAGAACAAGTTGGGGATAGGCAACTAAAGCGGGCGTTCTGGAAGCCCAGCTCATCAGAAGGCTATACTTTTTTCATTTGAAATCAGTAGACTACTTATTTACAAAACTTACACAACTCATTATTTATGATAATTAGCAGGATCTATGATCTTTGTAGCAGTAATTTTAAATCAGTTTTCCTGTTATAAAAGAGTGATTCACATAAACATGATCAGTCCACCTCTTTGCCTGCCTTTCTATGTCCTAGGCATTTTCTTCTAGCCTGCCTTATCCTGACCCACATAGTAGGCACAATGTCTCAAACACCTGAAATAATGAAGTACCTTCCGATATTGTTCTCAAATTATTATAAGCCTTAATTTAGAACTTTTTGTGTTTTGGCATATCTTATTACATTTTCAATGGCAAGGATAAATTGACGTAAAATAGAAACTCTTTCAATCCTCACACGAGGACACGTTCATTTATTTTAGAGTAAGGAAAGGAGAGAGAGAAATATCGATGTGAGAGAGAAACGTATGTGCCCCCAACTTGTAATCAAACCTGCAACCTTTGGTGCATGGTATGATGCTCCAACCAACTGGGCCACATCAACCAGGGCAAGATAGGAACTTGACTTTTATGTAGGATATGAATCAGATCATAAAGTGAAACTCATAAACTGCTCTAATTTGCAGTGCCCCTCCATTTAAAAAAAAATAAATAAATTGTAAACCTTTCCTGTGTCTATCCCTGTTTTCTATTGTGTTCTTTTGAGTGATGATGGCTATAAAAAGGGTTTGTTTTTTTTATAAGACAAAGAACTTGAGAAAATTTTGGGTATAAATAAATGGATTATTCTGTAAGTAAATGAGAAGTAGAGCTGTTCATACTTAAATTGATGTCAGAATTACTCTTTAATAATTTATAAGCAGTCCAGAAGAGCATATTTTCTAGATAAGCAAGCTGTACTCTTCTAGGTATTGAAATGCTAAATTGGTGAAAATGCACTACAGGAAGAGCTTGAGAAAATTCATGGGTGGCCTCAAATTTGTAGGTGGCAGGTTAAATAAGCAAGGCAACTTAACAAACTTGTATTGGGTGACAAGACAAGTAGATCTCAGCACTCATCTGCCAAATCTTAAAAGGTTTTGTAGAGGCCTTACTAGGTTTAATCACATAGGGGGCCCATAACTGGGGTCAGTCATATGCTCAGTCCAAATAATCTCAACACCACATTTCTATCTTCAGGCTGTGTCTTCGGAACAGCTTCTGGGAGCAGGGAAAGCAAACACAGTGCACATTCCAAAGCACAAGGGGAGGGCGGGGCGGAGCCTCTAGTTGTGTCCGGCTTAAAGGTCCAACATGTGACCACATCTTCTTGATGACCTTCCCCAACAAGTATTCCATATGAAAAGAAGTAAGTCAGACCTAGCATTAGTTTCTAGTCTTTAACTAGTTGTAGACCTTGGCCAAGGCATTAGTGTAGAGTTTCCTCACTTAAAAAAATATATTAGTAGGAGTAAAGAATATTCAGGGACACTTCTAGCTCCAAAATTCTGATTATAAAAATGAATTGACTCTACAGAAATACAATGAAAATAAGAAATAAAGCTAAAAACATAGGCCATGCTAGGGTGAGATGTGTAAAGTCATGGTATAAATGGATATAGAAAAACACAGACTGATTCCCCCAAAATTCAAAATATTAGCAGTTTTATTTTTAAATGCTCAAAAATTATTAGTTGGAT